GCTGCAGCAGTTTTTCTAAGAACACATTCAAAGATACGGATCACGATACTTATTTTCACAAGTCTGGCAATAAAAATGCAAAATATCATGTTTTCTTTTTTCATAATTCTTTTTAATTTTGAGGTTATCACTAATAAAACAATGCACATATTTTCTTTATAAAAAGTGACACTGACAACATCTTACAAGACAGTTTTTTTTAAAAGGTTTTTTATTGATAACCTCGTGTGTTTTTTAATATTATGTTTATCTTTTATCATACTGCATTGATCATTACATGTATTGTTATGTATTGTTATAAACTCTAATATTTAAAATCATCCACTGAAGAGAAAATTCCTCATCAAGCTTGACAAACTCTTTTAATTTTAAATTCATATTTTTTGTATAGTTTGCTTGAGGTAGATTTACATATTTCGCTTCAGTTGACTGACTCTGTGTGTTTGCATATCTGTCCTCCCTCTCTGCTCTCGGACGTTAAGAGGCCGGTGTCGATCAGCGGCTGTTTGAGGCCTTTCAGAGACGCTGACACACGATGATGATGATGATGATGATGTCATTGATTCTACACCTGGTCACCTTTGGGCTCCTTGTTCAGGGTGAGGCCAGGTTCACTACAATAATCACTGTTATGGAGAAAAACTTAAAGAAGCAGCATTTACCTTTTTTCCACTGTTTCTCTAAAGTTAAGAAAGCAAAGATTCTGTTTGGATGTTGTTCATCTTTCTCCGTCTGTTTCAATAACCTTCTCCTCTTTTTTCATGTTTCTTCAGGTTCATCAGGAGACATCCTCCTGACTCAGACTCCTGGATCTCAGTCTGTTGTTCTAGGACAGACTGTCTCTATCAGATGTAAAACCAGCACAAGTGTTGGTGCTTACCTCCACTGGTATCTTCAGAAACCTGGAGAAGCTCCTAAACTCCTGATTTATTATTCTACAAGCCGTCAGTCTGGAGTTTCTACTCGTTTTAGTGGAAGTGGATCTGGAACTGACTTCACTCTGACTGTTAGTGGAGTCCAGACTGAAGATTCAGGAGATTATTATTGTCAGCAGGGTAGCAGCTACCCGTTCACACAGTGATACAACGTCGTACAAAAACCTCCGTCAGCTGAAGAGGAACTGATCTGACTGAACAGCTGCAGAGAAACTAAAACAAAGTTCCATGAAACACAACATAGTTTAAAATCAATTAATTTAAACTATAAACTCTAAATATTCTGCACATTAAGAAGATCATCTATTTTAATTATTTCAATAAATACACAAGGGTGTTTGATGTTACAAGACCCGAAACCCCCCATGAACCCAGAAAACATCACTGATGATGAGTTCTAGCCCATCTGTAGGATGTATCTTTTATCTATCTTTACACACACACGTACATTTTATCCTAATAAAACATATTTTGTAGTTTAGTTTCTATGATATCACGCTTTATTTAACAGATTTTCAATATTTCTTTGAGCTAAAACACATTCATTTAGATGTTTTCCTCTCTTTTCTTTTGATAAACATAAACCATGAGACATGTTAAATCCTGGTCATTAACATTTTCTGTAAAAAAAGCTGATTTGATGATTTTCATTCAGTTGTTTCAGTCATTAAGGCGTCCATATCGATTGTTAGAAAAACCTCATGAATAGAACATTATTTAGCAGCTGTCTTTGAGGTTGTCAAAGTGTGATTTATGTGGATCAAATATAAAAATCTGTATTTTAACATTAGGTTTAATATTCATACAGAAACTTACTTCCAACATCCAGTCTGGTTCCTCCACCAAAAGTCCACCACAGTGGTACAAAGTCATTGAGCGGCCATACAAAAACCTCTCACTGTAGAGACACACGGCTCTCTGACTTTAACACACTGAACTCAAACTAGCACAACTCCACATGTCACCTTACCATGAGAGTGAAAATCATCTATTTCCCAACAAATAAAAACTCTGGCTTCAAACATTTTACCTTCATTTAAATTCAGTCTGTGTTTCTGTTTTAAACTGAAATCCTTTAAAGTCAAATGTTGTCTTTATTCTTTCTAAAACAAACGATTAAAAGTTAAAGGTCAGTATTTTCTTTTCCTCCAGGCTTGAATATGAAGACAAAAGACACCAGAATAACTTACTGATTGAATAAAAAGCTCAGTATGTGACTTACTTCCAATATCCAGTCTGGTTCCTCCACCGAACGTGAGCCACAGTGATACAAACTGATGGAGTCGTCGTACAAAAACCTCTCGCTGTAGAGACACACGGCTCTCTGACTCTGACACAAACACAGACACCTCAATGAGTCTCTGCCTGCAAGACCTCTGAGACCAAATGAAAACAGAATCTAAAAAGATTATAACAGATTAAAGAATGTCTTTCTTTGAGATATTTAAATCTTTGAATTATTTTTAAATCATTTTCTCAAGAATATTATTAATTACAACTCCTGATTTATATCAGGATAAATGTTTCTAGAAGCATGAACATGAAATCATATTAAAGTTGTTTTGAAAGTTTTCTAATGAATTGTATAATTAATTGATTGATTGATAAACAGAGTAATGAGAGTGATCCCTGTTGGAGTCAGTCAGAACATTTCCATAGAGAGCCACTTTGCATCAGCAGCACCATGCTCCAGTGCTCTGGGAGACTTTATAGTCCTGACAGTTGAACACTGGATGACTGACAGCTGTCCTTCATCACAACAGAAATCCTCGTCCTCATCATCAAAAACATGACTTTGATGTGCGTCCTCATCTGGACTCTCCTCCTCTGCTGCTGCTTCACAGGTAAAGTCCAGAGAATCAAACTCCTCTCCTCTATGAACATCCGTCCCTCTGAAATGAAGCCCACTAAACCCTGATGCTGCTTTCTGTTTTTGTCTCTGTATCCTCAGAGTCCAGAGGACAGGTCACAGTGACTCAGCCTGCAGCAGTGAGCTCTGCTGGGAGCCTCCGTCTCCATCTCATGTAGAACCAGTCAGATGTTTTTTTATAGCACATACCACCTTAGCCTGGTACCAACAGAAAGATGGAGGAACTCCTAAACTCCTCATTTACGTTGCTAGCACTCGAGCATCAGGGATTCCAGATCGTTTTTCAGGCAGTGGATCAAACTCTGCCTTCACTCTGACCATCAGTGGAGTCCAGACTGAAGATGCAGCAGTTTACTACTGTCAGAGTTATCACTATATCAACAGTCAGGATGTGTTCACACAGTGAAAAAGCGTCGTACAAAAACCTCCCTCAGTCAGACTGAACAGAAACTGAACTGACTGCTGCAGCTGGAAGTTTCTGCAGAGACTGACACACTTCACTGAAGCAGCTCAGACATGATAAAGACCTTAAAAATCAATCAGCCCTCATATTTGTTTTGGATTATAAACCTCATTGTAAACGCACTTAAACAATACACACTCTTTACAAGCAGAGGATTATGGGTAATAAGATTTTTTTTTACATAACATTTTTTTATTGGTGATAAAGTGGACAAAAAAACAAACCTACAAATATTTGCACATAGAAATAACAGCAAAAACAAAAACCAATAACCAAACTAACAACACTCATAAAACTGATTCAAGCCCTTCTTAGATGTGACACACTTAAGTATTGTTGGATTTATTTAAAAATATCTAGTTTGATAATATACACATATATATTTAATCAGTGAAACATAAAATGTATAACAATTTACCCTATGGGATGGATTTGATGACACAAAATAAATGAGTTGGAATGTGGAGCCGCCCTTTGCGCATGTGCGATACCATCTTCGCGGGCATAACTCATTAGCATAACGTCTTCTGGCTGGAGTGGACCATATCAGTGGGAAACCGTCTGCAGGTTGAAGTTCGGTCTTTGGTAAGGGAAACACTGCTATTGAACAGGTTTAAACACGCACAACAAATAGTTAGATAAATATTCTTGGTTCACCGTCCAGCTCTCAGGGGAAAGTAATCCGCTGGTCGGTATGAACGCAGAGAGACACCGCGGTGTCCGGGCAGACAACAGGCCACAATCTTCCCCGCTCACGCTCCTCACACCTATCTTAAGTAAAATAATAAGTGAGGGCAAGTTCATTCGCCTCACAATTCTTTTGCCTTTCTCAATTGCAGTTTTGCGACTGCTATGTTCATGTCTGGACTATTATGCTAGCTAGTGGCCATGTTAAGTGTTACCAAGCTAGTCTGCAAACTCAGACTTTCAAAGTAAAGTTCGCCCTCATCAACATTGCACGAATTTTGGTAAACAGCACTGAATACACCAGCGGTACAGTCTAAAGTACTACAGCTCAAAAAAATGAATACTTACCAATATACAGTGGGTACAGAAAGTATTCATACCCCTTTACATTTTTCACTCTTTGTTTCATTGCAGCCATTTGCTAAAATCAAAAAAGTTCATTTTATTTCTCATTAATATGCACTCAGCACCCCATCTTGACAGAACAAAAACAGAAATGTAGAAATTTTTGCAAATTTATTAAAAAAGAAAAACTGAAATATCACATGGTCATAAGTATTCAGACCCTTTGCTGTGACATTCATATTTAACTCTCCTTCAGTAAAGCTGTCGGTTAAGCAGTAAATGTACATTCTAGGTTACAGATTGTCAGTGAATACATGCAGGAAGGTTAATGTTGTTCCTGTGTGTTTGATATTTTAATAAAATGGCAGAATTTAAAATAATTTCATGACTTGATCTTAGTTATTGAAGCTTATTTGTTTGTAAAATAATTGCTAGTCCATTCTAAATGTTCAAATTTTATCTCTTTTCATTGGTCAGAGCTCTAATTCAATTTCGACTTGTCTGCATTTCTGGGTATTCTGGTACTTGCACTCACAACTTAATGTGTTGTCATCTTTTGCAGTTTGATCAACTTTTCCAAGCTTCTTGTGGCAGCCTCCTAATGATCAGCGTTACCAAGCTCTTTGTGGCAGCCTCCTAGTGTTACGGCCAGCTCGTGTAGGCCCTAACATTCAAAATGGAGGTCCACACAGTCAACTTGCTTAGGTTTTAGTTTATTTCAGAACCACCAAAAAAATGCAAGAGCAGAGGGAGATAAGTCCAATCTGTCCCGAGGAACCCCCTGAAAGCTCTGGCAGCCCGGTTTGTATGCCCTTCCACCCAGGTGAAGCCCATCCGCAATCAGCAGGCAGGTGGGCGAGTCTCCCCGCGACCAGCTGGCGAGTCTCCCCACGACCAGCAGGCATGCCACCGCCAACCACCAGATGACGCCAAACCCTGAAATACAAAACACAAGCAGTACCAGGCCAAACACCATGGCCAGGGCCGTCACACCTCCCCCATAAAGAACGTACACTTGGGTGTACGTACACATTAAACTACTTCCCGAGAAAGAGCATCTGCCATTACATTATCCCTACGCTTGAGGTGACAGATATTAAAGTTGTAGGGCTGTAAAAACAACAACCAGCGCCTCAACCTTTGATTGCTGTTTTGCATGCTGGACAGAAAGGTCAGATGGTTTTGGTCAGTGAATACAGTAACTGGTGCAGACCCTAAAGTTACATACACTTCAAAAAATTTTAGAGCCCAAGTAAGTGCCAACGTCTCCTTCTCCACAACTGAATAATTGAACTGATGACGTTTGAACTTACGGGAGAAGAAGCAGACTGGATGATCAATAGCCCCCTTCCCTTCTTGCAACAGTACAGCTCCTGCACCAACTCCACTTGCGTCCACCTGAAGTTTAAAGGGCTTCTCAAAGTTTGGCGCTGCAAGCATAGGAGAACAACAGAGCAAGGATTTCACCGTAACAAAAGCATCCTCAAATTTAGGAGACCACACAAAAACCGTCCTCTTACTCAAAAGGTCTGTCAATGGGGCCACCACAGTCGCAAAATTTGGGCAAAACCCCCAATAATACCCCACCATATCCAAAAACCTCCCCAACTCTTTGAAGTTGATTGTCCGAGTCACAGCACAAACAGGAAAAATCATTGGATGTTGTTTAGCACACTCATCCGGACCTTGAGAGCACTCGGGTGATGCTGTTACCCCAACAGAAGGTGGATCATCTTTCCACACTCTTGCCCCCGCCAAGTCATTACCCAATATAACATCCACACCCTCCAATGGCAATGAGTTCCGTACCCCCATGACCACTTCCCCTTTTACCAGATCTGAACACAGGCTAAGACGATGCAATGACACAAACAAAGGAACCAAAGAAATTCCCCGAACGGGAGTCGTCTCCCTAGTGTCTGTAGCAGAAGAAAACGGCAACACACGTTCCAAAATGAAACTCTGGGACGCCCCTGAATCCCTCAAAATACTTACAGGTTTCATCTCACCATCATTCAGAGACACAAACCCATGTGACATGAAAGGGGCATACATTTCATCAACCCCCTTTGATGCAGTTCAGGAGATGTTCCTGGCACCATTAGACTCTGCACTGATGACAGTGAAGCCACCAGACCAGCAGATTTCATATACACACTTGGATCGGTTGACTTTTGTTCCGACATGGAAATTGGACACTCCCCTTTCCAATGACCCTTATTTTTACATGAATGGCACAGTTTACCTGGATCAAATCTACCATCCGTACCTGGTACACTTCTGAAACTGGCCTGAGAACCCTGAGTAGCCCCAACAAACTTTCCTGGACTAAACTTCACATTGTCCTTTACGCCCCAGCGCCATTCTGAGCCACCAGCATGAGTCAACACATACTCATCTGCCAACACTGCAGCTGCTGAAGCTGTCTTAACCTTACGCTCATTGATGTGTACAGCAATGTGGTGTGGAACAGAGTCCTTAAATTGTTCCAATACCATAAGGTTACACAAATCATCATAATGATCTACCTCCGAGGCAGGACACCAGCGTGCAAAGTGAGCTGAAATATCCCGTGCAAACTCTACGTGAGTCTGTACATCACCTTTCCTCCAGCTTCTAAATCTTTGCCTATATGCCTCAGGAACCAACTCATAGGCTTTCAAAACAGCAGCATGACAAAACATTCAAATGACATATATCTGAGTAAACATTGTATCTCCAGACCTGTCCTCATGACACAACACAGGAGCAAAATAAACAAATATCAAACTTCAACCAGAGAAAGTCCAATTTTGTATCAGAAAGACACAGCAACAACTATTGTAAAATAGTTCAGAAACACAGTAACTTTTAAGAATAGTTGACAACTTAATACACAGATATACTAAAGAAATGCCAACTTCAGCAAAATGACAAAAGGTTTACCCTATAGTTCTGTACATCAACACTAGAAAAACCCAGGCATTTCCAACAGAAACCCATTACAACTTTGAGTTCAACGGGCATTTTTTCAACTGTGTTACCCTCAAGCACAACGGCAACCTTCTCGGGGCAGAATACCGCAGCATCTGTTGAAGTGGCACTGATCAGGAGGAGCCCAACTGGTATGTTGTCGATTTGCAGTTCATCTGACAGGGCCTGCTAAAGACAAGGACAGAGAAATGTTACAAATCAACTGCCTAAGCTTCAGTGTTTCCCATAGAATGACAATGTACCAAAAGCTGTTTATGTTTCTTGATCAGCGGAAAAATATGGAAAGTACACTACCCTATTGCTATTCAGGATTTCTTAATTCACCACTTTAAATTTAGTAATTATCCCCCTTTTTGTTTTTTTGGCCTCAAAACAATCAAAGCTAAATGGTACTGAAAGACAATGACTCAACTGACAAGCTTTTTTAAACAATCACTATATTGCATTTATTCTCACTATAGATGTTGATATTGTTTAGCATACTATTCCAGCTCTGCAGGTTTTAAATGGAATTTTAAAAACTGCAGCATGAATTGAGGTTTGACCAGTAAATGCAAAGTTTAATTACTAATTCCTCACAGGTAAGATTAAGCCTACTGTAGATGTTGCAGGACAATTATTACTATATTAATCTTTTTCACTTTTTAATATCATGGCAATCATACACCAAAATGACAGCATCTGAATAAAACAGATGAAATATATAACATGTTCAACAGATTCATTACAAGTCTTAATAATATGCTGACTTACATCCCACAGCTTCAGAAATCCGGAGTCATCCTCATGCAGATATGTAGGGAGAGCACGGAGGACGGCAGCACGGAGGACATTGACGTCAACTTGTTCCTTAAGTATGAGAAAACACATCATCTTAATTTGAAATGCCAAACAGGGAAGGAACAGAATTTATCACAAGAAATAGCCCTATATGATGTATTTGAATACGATTAGGTAATGCCTACCAAACTGTCAAATGACAATATCAAAAGCGGAACACTTGATGACATTTATTGTTTCTATTGTTGGTCGTGTTTTTTCCAAACAGTCTTTCACGATAGAAGACTGTCAGCTATCAACGATGGCATCATCATTTGGCCCTAATGTAATCTGAAGATAGGGAGTTCCAACAGGGTTCTATTATTATCATGCATGAAGAAGGATAATCAACTCACCTGGCGGTCATAAGTGTTGAAGAGCTGATCCAGGACTTCGGACACCTTCCCTGTGCGCGCAGCTTTCTTCCTGAACAAACTCTGAAGACGAGGGACATGTCTGTCTAACTCAGAATAGAAGTGGTTCTTCAGGTTGATGTTTGTGATTCTGTGAAACTCCAGGATCTCTCCAACAGGCAAGTCATCATTGATGACCTCTTTGCGTCGCAGGGAAAAGGTGGTCTGCATCAACTTTGCAATCAGAGGGAGGTTTTGTCAGTCCTTATAACTTCATCTACAATCTGGAGTCTCTGTCGCTCAAGGCTTGAACCATCTTCTCCTTTTGGAAAGTTGGGGAGAAAATTCACTTCTGCCCTTTTTGGTCTCTTTATGTCAGTGTGGGGAGATTGTTTGTCAGGGTTGTTTCTGCTTCTCTTTCCAGAATTTACAGCTACCTCACTATATCCTGCCCGACTCAACTTAGTGCAGAAGTTACCCATCTTAAACTTCAGACTATTTTTCCAACCATACCATCCTGTCTGCGTTCCTGGTTCTTTAAGACAAGGATGGGTGGTGACAAGCGCTTCTGCAACCACTGAAATGTCTTTATCACTGGGATATGCTTTAAAGCTATGCATTTTGGATGCAAGGGTTTCAAGAATGTCATGCTTCTGTCCCCTTGATAACTTCAGGGTTTTCCCTGTTCTCTCATGATTCAAATTTCCCTCAACAAGTATGAGTTCTACTTCATAAGAAAAAGCTGGCACTGGACAAACATCCGGCCATCTCTGGGTCCTTTCTGGAGTCATTGCATGAGGCAATATTATTGTGTCATCAGATGCAATTGAACTGGCATCACTCTGAGATCTTACAAGTTTAAGTACTGCCTTCTGTGGAAGCTCTTCAATGTCTATAAGGGAACATAACTGCCCGTCAAAGTCTGGATCTTCATATGATTAGCAAAAATCAAAGTCTATCTTAAACTTTTCTTTTGTCATTTTTTCAAGCTCAGTCACAGATTCTGGACGTGAAGCCAAAGTCATCTTCCTGACAATGTCCATGGAAGTATGTATGTGAAGATTACCTATTAAAACAAAGAGAGGGGAGAGAACAGATTAACTAATAGCATTCAACAATGCATACACAATAGGTATTTGTGTGAAACAGTTATAGACAGATATTATTCACCTAAAAGCTGGGGTTTGAAAAACATTACAGTTGTAGCAGGTAAGTCTTTCTAGGCTTGTAATGTTAGTAAACGTAACTGGCATATCAAATTTTAGTTTACCTGTCTTACTTTGCTACACACTGTTCCATGAGGCCATATGGTTCTTCACTTCTGATAACATTTTACACCTGGATTTCTCTGATCAAAATAAATCTTTTTTGTGTCAGTATTAAGTGTCCATCTATGTTGTATGCAGACAAACTTACTGTGTCATTTAGTTCTGACAGCTCGATGACAGAGCAGGTGTCTGAGGATGTCAGCTCAAATCACCTCAAATGCTCTCTGTACCAGCTCTCGTAGTTTCTGCAAAGAAAAGAAACAGAGTTATTCACAAGCAGTGTTTGGTCAGTCTCCAGCCTGGCCTGCAGAAACATACATACCATTAGCATACTCTGTGCCATCAATGGACACCTGTGTTGTACTGTATATGTTTTGGCTGTCTGTCTTTGTTCTTATAAAGTCTTTTGCCACTTGAGGCAGTGTGGCAACGTGGACAGAGGTGACACTCGAAGATTGTGTGTGGGGTTTGAAAAATAATGTTGCACTTCAGTGATACGCCATCATGTGCTGATGCCTAGTGGCAAGAGTTCTCAAGACAGTCTTGAAATTGTGTGTGTCCTGTATCACTCTTTTAAAAAAGCGAGTTTTCCCTCGAACCTCATTGTCCAAAGGTGAACAAGAGGCCCAAAGCGCCTTGTCATTTCTGGGTAGTGCTCAACATAATGATGCTTGGGTCTGAGCTTAAAGTCTGGAAACACTGCTTGAAGTCCCTGTCGATGATCACTGATTTTAGTCTGCATGTACTGTAAAGACTCCTCTGTGAAAGATGGAGACAACACCAGCTGCACTATTTCTTTGAGGTCCAACAATATGGCCCATGTTTTCATCCTTCAGGGACTTTACTTCCTACCAGTATGGTAATAACCTAAGCAAAGTGGAATTTTCATGCCCGTTTGGCAGCAAATTCTTTGGAATTTGTTGCGGTTTATCAAGCCTATCAGTGTGCTGATCTGGAAATGTGTGAATTCTTGTGTTTAGATATTCAAGTGTGAAATACTTCAGGCAAATCATCTCACGGATGCACAAGGCCATCTCAACTGGCACGACACCCTCAAAGAGGTCGTGAAGAATATCAGGTGGAAAACCAGTGATGGGATGAAAATGCTGCAATGCCATGCTGAGAGCACACTGACCTTTAACACCTAAGTGATTTGCTTTGTCTTCTTCCACAACATTCTGCACATGAAGATCATGGGAGGCCCTTGTTCTCATGCTAAACTCCCCTTCAGAAACGTCAGTGCACTGTTTCTGGTCTGCAGTACAGCAACAAAATCAGGGACAGTTTCAGCTCCCCTGTTTCAGACAATAACTGATTTTCTTTGAAATATGTTCCATCTTCATGAGACATGTAAATTCCTGGTGGAGACGGTTTTGCCTCGTGAATTTTTTCAAGAAGATCAGTAGTTTTAAACATTGTTTGAATCATCTGAAGAATGGGAACATACACTGCTGTGTGTTCACTGGAATCAAAAGTGTATTGCACTGGCATTACCAAAGGATAGTTACTCCTCACAAATGTTTCCCTCCGCTTAGCAGTGGACAGTTCCGCACCTTCTGAAGTAGCATTGACAAAAACATTAGTTTTCATGATAGCCTCCTCTAGGTCATGAAGAAGGGCCCCACTGACAGACAGATCATGCTCTTGTAAACTATTGACAACAGCTTCTCTCACAACAGGTTTGGACAAAGTGAATATTTGTTGCCAAATTTTCAATGATGTCCTGTGTAGCTGTCTCTGACACATGAAGAACACTGTTCATTTTCAAGAAG